GCATGCTGAATGTTTTGATGAGTAATAGATGAACGCCTCCATTCTGACAGCTGCCAAAAAGTTATACAATGACAGATCCTCTGGAGCTTTAAAGGTTGTCTCTGCTGATCCTCAAGTGTAAGGCATATTTTGTAGGTCAGGATAACTAGCCAGGAAAATATTGTTAGTGCCCAGATGTGCTGATGGGTACCCACCTCCTGGATAAGGGTTCAAAGATTTGATCATGTGAGATTGTCATATGAGGGTGCCAAAACACCCACCAAGGGCAACAGTCAGTCTGTAGAGAACAGAAGATCCTTCAGCCTAGACCCCCACTCTTTCAAACTATGGAACAGAATTATCTGTATAAGTGTTGGGACTGGAGAATATGACAGTGATCGAAAGGTGCTTTTACTCCTCTCTGCACTACTGAGAGCTTGCTGGAAGAGAAAACCTGGGTCTGAAGAGTTTAGGCCAGTAGACAAGGTGCCACGATGGTCAGACAGTACCTGTCAGGCAACCAGATGCCTACTGGAAGCCATCATGGCCTATTGTTAGAGGTCTACAGCTAGTTCCTGGGCAGCACATGAGGAAAGCAGGCCATATGAAGAGGGAACCCCGATAGTTAGTAACCTGACCCATGAGCTGCTCACACTTACAGTAGGGCGTGCAGTGGGAAGAGTTTAGCTCCCCTTTATTTCAGGAAGCTGACTGCTTGACTGTGAGCCTCAAGGAGGTATTTCTGAGCTGGTGTTAGCAACTCTGGGAATGCCAATTACCTTGAGTTCCCAAAAATGACGAAGGAAGGAAAAGCAACATCTCGTCTGTAGGTCCCAGCTATACTTAGGTATAACCTGGTCACCGTTACTGTCAGTTTTACTGGCAATTATGTGCCAGTAAACTCTGCAGATCAGACATCTCCAGAGTTACGTTAAATCAGGTTTTCAAAGCAAAAACAGATAACAGTACTGAGCCTAAGGCCTTTTGTGAATTGTATCTGGACTCAGCAATAAAATGTGCCTTTCACAGGGTTATGTAAGGAGCAAAACTAAGGCCACATGGAAGGACACAGACTAGTGACTAGGATCTAATCACAGTCTTCCCACTTTCACTATCTTTGGTAAAAACAATTATAAATATGTGAGACTGTGCATTTAGATATTGTCATAAATAACAAATGTACAATGTTTTACCAGTTTGCCACAAGAAAGAAAAGCATCCTGAAGGCAGGATGTGCTAATTGAACTATACAGTTGAAAACTCAATTAAAGGTATTAGAGAAGGAAGCAAGATGGGAATAAGATAACCTGTAAAATATGACATCAGGTAAGATGAATGCAAAATAAAATCTAGTAAGACAAAAGTGAAGATGACAGAGATCTAGTGTGTCAGTGACTTTTACTCTGTACTTCCCTCCTCTTCCTCTGGAGGCAAGTAAAATAGGAAGAAGGATGAAGCAGTCGCCTGAGACAATAAAAGCAAGCATTTGAACAGAGAGCAATTCTAGTGTAAATCGAGAGAGAGATAATAGTTGGCCTAGATGCAGTCATGGAAAGTCTCCATCATTAACAAAATCTTGTGGCTTGTAATTACACCTTTTGGCAACCTGATTAAAAAAGAACATTTCAAACAAGTATTCTGTAGAGTACATATTCCTCTGTGCTTAAAAAACCAAAGAGAATGAATCCCAAGACCAAGCATTGCACTCTTTAACAACTGCTCTGGATTGTTTAGACTGACCACTTTGCTCTCCCACACCTGGTCCCTGGGTGCTCAGAGGGAAATAGGTCATGTTAAACGGCATAGTTTAAGAATCAGGTGTGGTTCCATCCAAGAAAGTTTTTTGGTGCATGTTGAAAGCACTGTTGAGTCCACATGAAGCCATGTCTAGCAGTATAAGACTATTTACACTACATGTGTAGCCACAATAGGCAGTTGTCTGATATTATTGGCTCCTAATACTGTTATAGGCAAGCACAGATCTTGGTATGGGATGTATAAGGACCATGGTGTTGATCTTGAGTATTACTGTGCAGGAGCACCAGGCTGAGATTCACCCACAGCACATGCCTGTGAATGCTGCCCAGAGAGGTGCTATGGGCAATGCAGTAAGTAATAGGACAAATCTGCACATTCTTCTCAGGAAGAGTCTAGGCAATGTGAGATTGTAAATGGTTAAGATGAGTAGTTGTGTCTGTTCTAAATCTACCAGGCTCTTTTCAAAAGAAAGATGTTTTTAAATACTGGCATACTCTTTTGCTTTACTTTTTCATTGCAATCTTCAATTTACTTTTCATAATCTTCTTTTGAATTTTCTCCTAATTCCTCGTCCAAGACATTCCTCGTCCAAGACATTCAATGCACTATTTACTGCCATTGTACTATTAAATCACCATTTTATCACCAAATTATCACCAAAACACCATTCTGCTGTTGGAAAACATAAACTGGATAATCCTATACTGTTTTTTTCATCTGAACATTAAAATATATCTAATAGATTTGTAAGTGGAATTGTAATAGCCTACTATTGGACTGTAATGGACTTTTATGTATTAGGGTAAAGGTGAGACAGGTATTGTGCAATAACCTCAAAGAAAAGGACTGCTCTGTCACAAGTTGTGTGTGTGTAAGGGTGGGGAAAAGTTGTCGTTCCCTAGTTACATGTAGTAAATACTTAGGTTAAAACAAACTTTCATTAGGAAAAGTTCTTTTTTCTCCCAAGTCTAAAGGAAAGATTTAAATGATTTTAACTGGAGAGCTATCAGGACAATCTGGCACTGAATTTTAGATGGCCAAGGTCTTTTATGTAAAATGGATTACAAGCACTCTTTTATTACAATATTGTTCCATTTATTGGATCTTAAGTCTGTTTATAGGCAAATAGCATTACTCTCATTTGAAATATAGAGAAACTGAGAAACAAAATTCAAAAGAATTTGCCCAAGGTCATTATTAAACACCTTTGCTAGTCCTTCTGCTATTTACTCAGTAACAGAAAATATTTATTTGTAAAAAACTATTTCTTTTTCTGAGGTAGGGAACAGTCTTCATGGGTCAGATATTGTGACATAAATTACTTTTGCACATTCTTTCCTGAGAAACATGACATAGCTTCTTCTACCTTTATCAAGAAATATTAAGACTGGCTTCCTAGTAACATGAGATTTGTTCACTTGATTTTCTAGGAATAAAAGTCAGACAGGAGCTACCATTAAACATCTTTTTATTATAGTCTTTAATGTACATGCAGAATAAAAAAAAGTGTCAGTTATGTCTGTAAGCATATAACAATGAATTAAATGTTTTTGATCAGCAAGGTATTTGGATTAGGGATTAATAAATCTAAGTGAACAGACATCTTTCAGGATATACATTTTATATGGTAAATCAAGAAGGTTTCTTTCAGACTGATTTTCCTCATAAAATATTTCTTGTTTACAGTGTTGCTTGTTTTTAATACTGCAAAACTCTATAATAGTACATTCTCCATTATGTACATAGAAAAACATAAAATTCTATCCATACCAGTGTCTGTTTTAAATGCAAACAATAGTAGTTAATATGTTTGTAACTTCTGTGTGCACCCTCCCACCCCCACCCCCCCATTAAAAAATGCAGCATTTTCTACACAATCATCAATGCTTTGGCAGCAATTGAACTGAAGGCACTCCTGTGTTAGGTAAAGCAATACGTGGGATATCAGCACTAATTTTGAAAGCTGTAGGTGTACCAGGCAGCTCCATGCTCTTTCCAAAGGCCACATCTTGCATTCGCAGAGGTCAAGAACTGTTTTGTCACAGATCCCAACTGGAGCAGGCTCAGATCCCAGTTAAGTTTACAATAAAGCTGGTGAGCCTCACGACTATTTTTACAAATGCTTCATGCAAACCATATGAGGATACACACAGTACCTCTGAACACAGTACTGTCCAGAGGGCAAAAAGCTCTTGTAAGTCACAGCATCAGAATATGTTGCAAAGGCTATATATTCTAGGCCTTGCACTTTGCAACGTACGATAGTTTCACACAATACCCTCCATTTAAGACTTCTTGCAGCTCAGCTAAAGAAAAAAAAAACAAACAAAAAACAAAACAAAACAAAACCCCACAATGTGAAGTTTCTAAGTCATCTCTTGAGATGGATTAGTTTAGATTCAGTAAAGCATCAATTCTCCAGAAAACATTCTGTGGACTCTGTGTACTAGTGGTATGCTGACATCTGCTGATAGGAAAGTGTTTAAAGCTCACAGGAAAGTTTCTCTCAGAGGCAGCTCCTCCTCAGCATTATGTGGCTTGCATTTGGCACACCTCAATTTTCTTTGCAACTCTGGGTTATCTTTGGCATACTTGATATATGTATTTATATGAATACTTGGGAAAACAAAGCATTATGAGATAAGCACCTAAATGCTAAGTAAGGGTTGTGTCATAAGTCACAGTCAGGAAAACATTTCCATAATGACCAGTTTTAGTTTTCAACTTCAGTTTGCCTCCGCAGTTCTAGCAAGGGTAGAAAAACAACTGGCTGCAGGCTTCGAAAAGTGAGAATGAGATAGAAAGTCACTAACTGAAGCTTTTTATGGACATGAAAACTTTCATATGTCAATGTCTCCAACCTGATAAAGTGTTAGATTTTCAAAGCATACATTAGTTTAAGCAATTTGTTTGCTTAACTAATTTATTCACAGAACACCATATCTGACCATGACTCTAAACGGCTGTGGTCATCTGACAGTACAATAGAAAAAGAACATTCTACTAAAAACCTGCCAGCTTGTCATGTTCATTCTGCTGCAGTAGCTCTACACTCTTTGGCCACAATGGCTCTATAAAATTGGAAAGCACTTTTGTAGTTCTTCAACACTGCTGTGGATTTTGCTTACAAGGAATGAATGACAGGATAAAAAGGAATCCAACAACAGCACATCAGTCTCTGAACTATCAGTAAGATGATATGCAACCGGTAAGGAGGAATAGCAATGTAAGGTTAGTTTGAAAGGTAGATATAAGGGAAGGAAAAAAAAAAAAAAAAAAACGGCAAGTAGTCCAGTAGGAATAAACAGTAGAAAAGGACACTGAGCAAATTATTATTTTGGGCCAGTCTATCCACCACCAGTTGCCGCATGTTGCTTTGGAAAACTTGAAACTGGCACCAAAAAACTCCAAAAGAAACAAAATACCCAATCCCACTCTAGGCTGATGACTCTCCTTGAAAGGTCCCTCAAATCTCTTTCCGTACTGTGGCTCGGATGCTGCTGAACATTTTGCCTATGGCCTCAAACAGTGGGTCGCAGAACGTGTGGATGCAGATAGAGTAGACACGGCTAATGCACTGGATCTCAATCAGGTAGCTCCTTATGCAAGGCACCACAGCCCAGATGTGCAGGAATGACAAAATGGCAAAGTAGATGCCCCAGATGAGAGCCATGGGAATGCCAAAGATTGCTGACAGTAAGCGATAAAACCAGTATTTTGTTACAGTGAAGGTGGTGAAACTGGCCTTCCAAATCCCATCAAAGCTGTGTGTTCCCTCTGGCTCAGCAATCACATCTTCAAAATCAATCTGCAGCAAAGAAGAGCACAAATTCAGGTCAAGTGGACACTCAGCAAGCGCAGCTTCCAGAATCCCCTTTCCTGGAAAGCAATGGCTCCCTGGAACCAAATGCTGAAGCTTGTACTTCCTACATCCTAAAGTGATGCTCATTCTAGCATATTGTCTAAGACATCGATCAGCATTATTGTTTTCTAGTGACTGTCAGGAAACATAGATAATTAGCTCAGAATTAGTCATTTAATGTTAGATAGAGATGAACTCACCACAGACATGAATATATTTTCCTCCCCTCCTAGAGACTTAAGGGTATGGAATGTCCCTAAAGTCTACTTAAAGGGAAGACCAGGTGAACAAGGTCATCATGAGTTACTTGTCTTAACTTAACCTTTTCAGATCTTTCCAAATGGAATGGAAGTAGTTAGTCACTTCTGCCCCATCTCCAACATACATCAATAAAACAAGTGAATAAAAAAAACGTTTATCTGGGTTTTCCCATCTTTTCTTGTTTACCGTTGGTGGATTTTGACAGTGAATAAATGCTGAGGTAGCTATTTGAATATATACTTTGAAACAGGCATAGTTTTAAGCAGTCTGAAAAAAGAAAATACTAGATTTTCATCTAGTAGCGGATTTTTCATCTGCTCCTCTTCAGTAGGGAAGGGTAGGGATCTCTTCAGCAGTACTAAATATAAGGAGGCTCTTCATATTAAAGTCATTTTGTCCAAACACAACCTGTTTATGTGATAACACTGCTCATGAAAGACATGCCAGACTAACATAGTAATATTTATAAGAAACATACTCTTTCACATATTTCATAGTTTTGACTATTATTCATAGCTCGTCCAAAATGTCACCCAAGGAAGCAGTACATTCCAACGTGCATATTTTACTGATCTCTGTTGAAATACTAAGCTATGCAGGAAGCTTAATTGTCATAACATTTCTATTAGAAAATTAACAGAATTGTCATGATTGTTCAACTCCATGTCACACAAACATGTGTTTGATATAACCCACGATACAGGATATTTAATTTAGTCAGCACAACAAAATTGTATAGGTACTGCACTGAATAGGAAAAAAGAATGTCACAATATGTAAGAATAGTACTCTTCTGTAAAACAAAACAAAACAAAACAAATCTGCAAAAAGCTAAATGATTGTATAAATTAGATGGAAAAAAAAAAAAAAGCATTCCTAGGACTGGATCCTAAAGTCAGATGACACTGCTGTCATAAGTGAAGATTTACAGGAGCAGGCTAAGTATGATATGGGCCAAAGCCTTCAGAAACTAAAGAAATAGTATCTTAGCATGCTGGAAGGAGCTGATCTGTAACAGCAGTGCGTTTACGTTTCTTTTGATCTAAAATATA